CCTGGGCATCCCCACGACGCGGTCACTGGCATGGCCGGGCGCCCCCGCTTGTCCGCGTCCCCCGCGAGAGTCGCGCGCCCCCAGATGCTGCCGGGCTTGGCGAGGACCTTCGGGGCTGGCCACGTGGGCAGTGGCCCTGCTGTAGGCCCCGCCTCGGTGGCGCGGGGGATGTTCCCGTCCTGAGCTGGTCGCTGCAGCTGAGGGTCGTGTCCGGGCGTGCCGGCGGTAGACCTGGAAGTCAGTTCTGTGCCGCGAGCTTTGCGGAGGCGCCTGGGCCGTGACCGCCGGTGTCGGACGGCTACTCCCGTGGCCCTCCTGCGCTTCTGGAGGAGAAGCAGCCTGTGATGTCGACACCTGCTTGGAAAGGAGACAGGAGTTCTTAGCGCGTGCTTCATCCTTCGCTCCACCTTTTAAACACCACTCTTTTAGTTGGGATTTGGGAAAACTGTGTGTGGCTTCTGGAGCCCTTTTGGAATCTCAAAATCCAGCCTTTTTAAAAATGAAAGGCGCTTTGCAATTTTGCAGAATAACCTCCAGGCAGCGGTTCTCACAGTGGTGCCCTGGGCCGGCTCCACCTGAGAACCCCCCCACCAGCTGTGTATAAATGTCTTTTTTTAGAAATAGTGTTTTTATTAAAATGCCAAATTAATGTTCCCATAACACTCGAAGTAAGATTTTTGAACCATGTGGCGCATCAGAAGTTAAGGTGGAAGCGGACAGAATTGTTGGGAGTGTCTGCTTTGGGCTTCAGGGTCCGCTTCCACCTTCACGGCGGAGGGGGGTGGCACGTGGCCCTTGGGCGTGGCTGTGCCACCATGAGGCCAGGTTCCCGATGGACGTCCCACCTAGCGGAGCTCAAGCCCAGGTGGCCTCAGGTGCGCGCTGGCTTCATGTCCCGTCAGACTGTGCCCCCAGCCTGACCCCCGTGCGGTGGCCAGACACTCAGTGTGATGTACGGAGAAGGGTTAATAAAGCACTGTCGTGATGACCTGTCCACTGTGCGGTGGTTGCTTTGTCCAGACCGGTGAAGGAGGCCGCTGCCTGACCTGGCTCTCCCCCCCAACCCCAGTTCTCAGTGGACGCCTTGGGACCTGGGTGGGCAGGACTGGGATCCTGGCTGAAGGGTCACCTAGGAGGGCCCAATTCTGTTGGGAAAGACTCTGAAGACTCCTGGGAGTGGGGACGGTGCTGCCCAAGGGCTGTGCACTCCACTGAGGGGGTCCCGGATGATGCAGGGGCCCTCCCTACCCTGCAGACTGCTCCCCAAAGCGTGGACAGGGCCCAGAGAGCCAGCTCAGGGCTGCCTGCGCTCTAGCCCAGAGTAGAGAGCTGAGCCCCTGCTGGGAGGGAGGGCCACAAGGCGGCAGGAC